CAATATCTAAGTCACAACACTTGATGGTAAAGGACACTAATCAATCAAAGAGAAGGACGATGAAAATCAATACTATACCAACACCCCTGAAAGGCGTCTATTTTGTGGCTCGAGCGTTGGTTAGCAGGGCCGTTTGTTGCCAAGCAAATAACATACCGCGTGCTTTGTGTCATCAATTTACGCTTTTCGTCATATCTTATCAATCAATGCGTTTGCACCAGTTGACTTTTCTTTCCTTATGTAATTTGTATAGAAGAGTATACAAAACCAACATGAAAGTGCCAACAAGTGACGTAATCATCACCCCAACTAATTTTCAGTATATAGACAATATATATATATATATATAGACTTACACCTACCATGTTAATCTTAGTCAATCGAGTGAAAATAGCACGTTCCCAAATGAGAACATGGTATACAATAGTATAGCCAACAGAAAAACTAACAAGCTACAAACACATCCAGCTTCATCCGCACAAAAAAAACAGAACATACATACACATATATAATATGTTCAGTGAATCTAATTCTGTATGCCAATCCCGTTGTTTCCCTTTTTACAAACTGTGTTTTGTTTTAGTACATTGTGTGATATTTGATGTAAGATTAAAACAAAGAATGATACAAATTAACAATTTATTCTGAAGTTTGTAGCATCATGTAGTATACACCCTAAAATAATAATTATGTAACGAATTCTTTCATTAGATACTATTCATGAACTTATCATCGACATGCTCTCGATGCCATGAAAATCATTCTGACGCTAGCTCAAATATGGCGGTCATCTTTCTTTTTGAGGGAGACAATCAACATCGATATCCGATAAATTCATAATGACGACATGCTCTGATGTGTCATCGAAATATGAAAGGTGGAAAGTGCGATGAAAATTATCTGGGTGAAATAATTCCGATTGACTTTTTCACGCTTCAAGTGAGTTTGTCCGTAATGTCAGAATGTCGAGAAATACAAAAAATAACAGTAATATCCCCAGACAAAGCATAAACTTCAATTATAATATCATAACTTAAGAAAATTATGTGTCACGGGCTATTTTCTTTAACTTTTATTATATTAGTATGAGCAGAATGGTTTAAACCCGATCTATATTTGAAAGAAACGTGCTGACAACTTCGCATGAGTCCCCCGTCACACCTAGAAGCTTATCCACGATATCCGTTGTACATGGTTTATCGGTCTACTTTTGTAAATAAATACCTTTGCTATTTAGAGACAGATATGACGAATTCCAGGTATGTACAATAAGAATCAATAGACACTATAATTGAGACTCGCTGAGAAACAGTTCAGTCTTTTCGTATGCATCGGTCTACATCCTTACCCGACAATTCGACTTGAAAGTAGGCAGAGCTTCTACGTCATCAGTGGTTAAAAGGAGCGTTTTCATTGACTAACAACATCTGGGAATTGTTCAAAAGACACACAAGTAAATAGGAAATTGCAATACACATCTAAAATTAGACACAACAGAGGCAAAAAATGTATTTAACCGAATCATACAGTTGTTCCATCCTTCTAGGACTTGTCAGTGAAGCTAAGAACGTAAATTTCATAACCTAGGAGTAGACTAAAAAAAAAGCAACCGCGAAGATTGAACAAAAGATTATCAAGTGAATAGCAAATTTCATTACAAGTTAAGAATTAGATACATTAGGGACCGCTTCTAACTGTGCAGATTTTAATTTTTGTTGATTTTCGTCGACATTTCGAAAATTATTTTAGAATGATAATAGTATAGTATACTTCAAACAAGATCATGAAATTCGTCTTGTTTTAAATAAAAAAAAATAAATATCTATCTCCAGTATATACAGAAAAAACAAGCATTCTATCAACTAAATGTATATTCACAAATCTTATCGGATCTAATAATTATGATAGATTTCTAACGTCCATTAATATATCAGAGGCTACCTGATGCCTTAGGTACCAAGTCAGATTCACGGTCCGGAAATCGTATAGGTCCCTAATGCCTAAATACAGAAAATAACACTACAAAATATAGAAAATGTTCCTCCTGTAGTTGTGATAGCCAACTGGTTATAATTCAAATACATTTATCACATCTAAACACGACCCGTAGACCTTGACACTGTTAGGATCGGTCAGGAGTACGATGGTGTTATTGTGACTCCTGTATTGGTTAATATTCTTGAAGGTCGCAATGACAGAAAGGCAACATTTGTTGTATTGTATGGACGCCTACGCTGAGACCACTCAGCATAAGCAAACATTATAACACACTTACCAGTACAGTGACATTTGTGATGCGAATGTCTAATAACCTAACGGAACATAAGTAATGATTCACAGTTCACCAACTACATGCGTTGTAAACATTTTAGAAATTACGGTTATTGAGCCAGATAGTGGCATTCATATTGCACACGATGTTATAAAAATATTGTTAAAATTGAATTGATCGGCCTGACTACTTAAATGATCGATGTTTGTTGTTTCCGTTGAATCAAAATTTGTCAAAAAGACACCTGATGAAGATTGGCGTGTATTATTGTAAATCAGCTGTTATCGACTAAACAAATGTTTCAAGGGGAGACATTCTATTAAGCATTCTATAAAATATAATCTGTTTGTAGGACTCGCTGGAACATGCATGTGTGTTGTCCATACCAAAGCTGAAGTTACTCCCATGCCATTCCAATCCACAAAGCTGACTTATAATTCACAATGAAGAGAATGGAGTTTTATGTAAAACATAAAACATGGTCCATTGGTTGTCAAATGTGTTATCTCAAGAGGTTTGAGCGAACCTGGCTATGTCAGAATAATTCTAGATAACGAAGATAGAGAAATCAGTTTATCTTTCCCTAAAGGGGCTAAATATCCACCAGGTTTTTTTTCTAGGACGACCAATACGGAAATGGAAAGCAGCGAATTCTAATCTAATGAAAACTCTTTTCCTCTGTATACTTTCCGGACATTTGTGATTGGCATCGGTCTGATGGTCAAATCGAATACTGTCATGAACGTAGAACTACATAATCCAACACTTATCAGGCTTAACAAAGTAACTATATTGTAAAAAACAACAAGATTCACTAATTAAATGTATCTGACAGAACATTACAGCGGCGCTCTATTCTCGTATTTCACTCTCAGACAAAAGAGTGCAGTTATAGTTTGAAACTAGACAATGCTTTCAAATAATTACTATCTCAAATGCTTTGCCATTAGTCTGACGTATTGCAGGCAATACTAACTCACAGATATTACTTTAAATAGCTTGTTCAACAAATTCTGCATCATATTTTTATTTCCTTGTTTCGTTTCATGCTCTATTCAATCAGTCATTAACGATCTATAAACCTAACATAGATTCTGAGCCAACAGATTATGTAACTGATAAGTTGACTGATAATGTTATTTGTAACATTATTTGACAGTATTTCTTTATATCTGTATTAGATATCATAGTACGATATATTGGTTTTGGTATACCAATACTGTAATTATAGAGCTTGCAGCTCGTAAATCGTTATCGATCAACTGCTAGTATTATTGTAGACTTGACGAGTATAATTGTGATTTATGCTGAACACATTTGTCCATTAATCCCTGCACTCAGTCCTGCATCACCTGTTTACAGGTGCATTATCAGATACATTTATTGATTTCCAATACGTTTAATGTTATTCTGGTATTGACCAAGACATGCACTATATAAGTTTATATATGCCTACAAGACAAGTATACTTTTGTTGTGCTACTGGTATTTACTGTATATATAATATATATATAAATTCACCATTCAGTTCTCCTCGTCAAGAAGTCAAGTCAACGAGAAATTTTAAAATGTGTCACTACGTTGATATGAATATATGCTGGGTTTCTGTAGTAAGGGTGTTTTAAAATCATGAAACAAAGCTAGTTTAATGTACGTAGGATGTGTTGAGAAGGCACTGTGCAATACCTTCATAACATCTGCTTTGGAGCTGTGGGTTCTAAAGCTCTACTCTTATTGTTTTGCGTGAGAAGAATTTCTATTTGCAAACGGGTCATATTATTGAAATTTCTCCGCAGGTGGCATTGGAACTTTATTCAACGACGAACGATTTAATAAGCAAAGAGCAGTGAGAAAATCATTAGGATAGGATTAGAATTACATTGTCTAGATTAACAAAAACATAATTCGTTGTGGGCAAACATGAATGTTCTACGAATAAACAACACTCATTGCCGCCTTGCAATATAAGGAAACAAAAATATTGAGTTCTTCCCATTAACTGCTCCATCTATTTCTTCATCGTTTTTACTATTTTTTCATTATTCTATTATTGTCATCAATATTAGATTTATTACAAATAAACCAGTAACACGTATATATATATATATATATATAACTTCATCTTTAATGTCATATTAACCGGTGTTTTTACCTGTTTGCAAAATATGAGTATCTTTTTAATGAATCAAGTGGAAACTAACAAAACCATTTATTCAATGATCAGGAAGTATTTTATAAAAAAAAAAACAATAGAAAGGATGTCAATATCAATCTTAAGTAATTGATAGTTTATTCTGGCAATATTGATTATCAAACTGACTGACCTCAACATCATTTATCTAATTAACTTCAGTCGAAATAAAAATATTAAAGGGAAGTAACTTCATACAGCTAGAATCAAAAACTTCAGCAAGAAAATCCTTTACGATGTCCCAGTGTGGTCGGATCATCTAATTTAGTCAAGATGTACTCAGAACAGTTGTTGTTAGTCAAATGTCAATGACATAGAAATTGGCATTATTATATAAATACTATATATATTATTTCCATCTAAACGGCATTTTAAAGTGTTCTCTAAAACAAAATCAAGACCAGAAAAATCCATTCGAAAGTAATTGGCAATATCTTAACAACACTACTGGTTATTTAAAGGGATGCATCTCTTCACAATTGAGAGGGAACATTTTAGATTTTTTATTATTAAGAATATGATTTTGTATTTTTGCAGGTGTCTCGGTGGGTGTAAGCTGCTTCACATTGGTGACAATCTCATCAGAGCGTTACTTTGCCATCTGTCAGCCGCTCCGGTCTCGAAGATGGCAGACAGTGTCCCATTCCTACAAGATCATCGTGGCTATCTGGCTCGGCGCCCTTACCATCATGATTCCCATCGCCCTGGGGACAAAGCTGTATAAGCTGAGGACAGGTTCTTATGCCTGTCGCGAACTCTGGGATAACTTGGTCTTCGAGCTTGTCTATACCATAGGTCTCGTCATTGTCCTTCTCGTTATTCCTCTCATCGTCATGAGCGTCGCCTACGGTCTCATCATACACAGGTTGTGGGTTGATATACGCAATCAGACACAAAGTTCGAGTGGTAAGTTACAGAAAGTCAAGAACGGCACCATGTCGTTCGTAATGAAGGTGTTACACCGATAGCTGAGAATATGTGCAATTGAAAGAGTTCTTAAGTTTGACGATTCTGTTTAAATCATATCAGTATCAAGTGATGATGCCAATGTATAAGCACAAATTTCCAACAGAAATTCTTCTTATATACATTTAATACATTGATGAAAAGCTTTATGAGCATAATATCATGTTTGTAACATTTAAATGGCCTAGCAATATTTATCATTATCATCACCATTGTTGAGATAGATTCATCAAGCACTTCGAAGATTTTATCTACTTCCGATTGTCATTATATAACTAATTTATAGTTCTGTGTCTGTGTTTCACTGTTCGATATTTTGCTGAAAAGTGAGCGGTCCATGAAACACATGACGGTATATAAGAGAACGTTTGATATATCCATCAGAAAGAAAACTTGATTTCTATATTAACTCTCCGGGCTGTTCTTAAACAGTTTAAATAATGCCCTAGGTAAATTTAAAAGATATCTTTGGTTTCCACTAATCCTTGAAACAGCTGTCCAACAGTTTGATATACTAGTTGTACATGAATTAATACAACTTTTTTAACGACAGACTGAATGATGGTTTTGAATAAGAACATTTCATGAAGACAAATGAATGTCCTTCTTTTTCACTCTGTTACATATTTATTAATGATATATAACATATATGCAATTATGATTATGTCACTATGCAGAGTTCCTCGTAGATAGGGCAACGATGATTGGTTCAATAGATCACCTTAAATGTTGAATTTTCTAGAAACACAATCTTTCTTATTGAGGGCTGGGACTGGGTGTATTAACACGGATTGTAATCATTAAATAAGATTTGACAACATTTCTTTCTGCAGAGTTATCAACCCCTCAACGCTTCGTTGGATTCAGCAGAACGTCTAGCAACAGCGAATCAGAACTGCGTTCCTTGAAGAGTATGGGCAACGGTTCTGACTATACGACAGGCGGGCATGTTAGTTTGAGACAGATAAACCCACATACCAATGTATCAAACCGGAAACGCGTCATCAGAATGTTGGTAGTGATAGTAATGGAATACTTCATGTGTTGGACGCCGTTATATGTAATAAACACTTGGATGATTGCGGATTATCCTACCATACACGAGCGTATGTCAGCATTAGGATGGTCGTTGATACAACTGCTGGCGTACACGTCCTGCTTTATTCATCCTATAACGTATTGCTTTATGAACAAGAATTTCAGGAAAGGGTTCCTGTCGGTGTTCCAGTGCGATAAAGGTCAACGTCGGAGGACACTGATCATTCGAAATGGAACAGAGGTCAGCTCTATGCCATCGCTATCTACACATTCTCCAATGGTCAAAGAAAAACTGAAGATGGAGGTCTTGTATAGCAAAGTGTCCCCAGACGACTAACAAAAAACGCGCTAAGCCTGCTCTGTCACGACGAGAATGTTCTTACTCGATCGATACACTCGGCACCTTGATTTCAGGACCTGTCTATACGTTCTTGAAATATATAGGTTTATAACGACTAGGAATTGGTTTATGATTCTAGCGAGAAAACAAATGTAGAAATATATCGATACAGGAATGCAATCAAAGAAGAATAACTTCTGTGCGGAGGAACTGCTGAAAATATCCAATGTGACATTTTAACTAATTTTCAAAGATTTTGTTCAAAAGGTTTGTGTATTGGTGAAAGTTAATTTCAAATTATCTTTATTTTGTTAACTCAGTTATAACGTTTATGAGAAAGATTGACTAGTAATCAATATTGGCATAAGATGCAACAAACTGCAATTATGATAATTGAAGGAGAGCTTCACATTGCTATCTATGTAGTTGTTGCTGCAGGTGCGTGTTAATGAAAACAAGGTGTTATAACCATACTAGGTGGTGTAGTGTGTTTGTTGGACTGTGGCTTATATTATAATTAAATGTGGTAATCCTACGAGAAGAATACCAATTTCGAAAGCATTCTACGCCAGTTTTCACCTCCACGCTATTTATCAGAAGAATCTGTGACGCCAAAAATGACTACTTTCCTTATAAATAGCATAAAGGTTTCGTCTGTCTTGTGACAACTATGTAACTGCTGGCAATTTTCTCACTTGTTGCATCCAATCTTAACGTCTTCACTTTCTCTGTGAAAACAAATATAGTCAAAAGAATACATTTGTTGAAATGTTTCATCAAAGGCATTAACACCACTGCATGTGTATGTAACAGTACTGTCAAGTAATAAAGTGATAAAACAAACTGCGTCATACAACTGTCTTATCCTTCTAAGACTCTCCAACGTGTTCAAATTTAAAAAGAAAATGCATCATTCATTTTAGGACGGTAACTGAGTTTCATTCTTAATTAGGTATCAAGTTACGTATGGTATGAAGTAAGGGTATCACTACAACTACCCGTAGTGATTAGTAATATTCTGATGACGTCATCTTGTCGTTTTCTAAATCTGGTTTATCATACATGATATGTGTTTCCTTTTATATGTATCCTATCATCTAGATAATTAATCTGACGTTGATGGCGTCACAATTGTCAGATAACAAAATAACGTCAGCTGATAGATACATTTTCTTTATCTGGTGAGTACACTATTTCTATCTAGTGAGTAGACGATTTCTGTCTAGTGAGTACAAGATTATTGTCTGGTAAGTACAAGATTACTGTCTGGTGAGTACACCATTTCTGTCTAGTGAGTACATGGTTTCTGTCTGGTGAGTACACGATTTCTGTCTGGTGAGTACACGATTTCTATCTAGTGAGTACACCATTTCTGTCTGGTGAGTACACGATTTCTGTCTGGTGAGTACACGATTTCTGTCTGGTGAGTACACGATTCTATCTGGTGAGTACACGATTTCTGTCTGGTGAGTACACGATTTCTGTGTAGTGAGTACACGATTTCTATCTGGTGTGCATACGATTTCTATCTGGAAAGTACACGATTTCTATCTATTGAGTACACGATTTCTGTCTGGTGAGTACACGATTTCTGTCTAGTGAGTACACGACTTCTGTCTAGTGAGTATATGATTTCTATCTGGTGAGCACACGATTTCTATCTGGTGAGTACACGATTTCTGTCTAGTGAGTATATGAATTCTGTCTGGTGAGTACACGATTTCTGTCTGGTGAGTACACGATTTCTGTCTGTTGAGTACACGATTTCTGCCTAGTGAGTATATGATTTCTGTCTGGTGAGTACACGATTTCTGTCTGGTGAGTACACGATTTCTGTCTGGTGAGTACACGATTTCTGTCTAGTGAGTACACGATTTCTGTCTAGTGAGTACACGATTTCTATCTAGTGAGTACATGATTTCTATCTAGTGAGTACACGATTTCTGTCTAGTGAGTACACGATTTCTGTCTAGTGAGTATATGATTTCTATCTGGTGAGCACACGATTTCTGTCTGGTGAGTACACGATTTCTGTCTAGTAAGTATATGATTTCTGTGTGGTGAGTACACGATTTCTGTCTAGTGAGTACACGATTTCTGTCTAGTGAGTATATGATTTCTATCTGGTGAGCACACGATTTCTATCTAGTGAGTACACGATTTCTGTCTGGTGAGTACACGATTTCTATCTGGTGAGTACACGATTTCTATCTGGTGAGTACACGATTTCTGTCTGGTGAGTACACGATTTCTATCTGGTGAGTACACGATTTCTATCTGGTGAGTACACGATTTCTATCTGGTGAGTACACGATTTCTGTCTGGTGAGTACACGATTTCTGTCTAGTGAGTACACGATTTCTGTCTAGTGAGTACACGATTTCTGTCTAGTGAGTACACGATTTCTGTCTAGTGAGTACACGATTTCTATCTGGTGAGTACACGATTTCTATCTAGTGAGTACACGATTTCTGTCTGGTGAGTACACGATTTCTATCTAGTGAGTACATGATTTCTATCTGGTGAGTACACGATTTCTGTCTAGTGAGTACATGATTTCTATCTAGTGAGTACATGATTTCTATCTGGTGAGTACACGATTTCTGTCTAGTGAGTACACGATTTCTATCTGGCGAGTACATGATTTCTGTCTAGTGAGTACACGATTTCTATGTGGTGAGTACACGATTTATGTCTGGTGAGTACACGATTTATGTCCGGTGAGTAGACGATTTCTGTCTGGTGAGTACACGATTTATGTCCGGTGAGTACACGATTTCTGTCTGGTGGGTACACGATTTCTATCTGGTGAGTACACGATTTATGTCCGGTGAGTACACGATTTCTGTCTGGTGAGTACACGATTTATGTCTGGTGAGTACACGATTTATGTCCGGTGAGTACACGATTTCTGTCTGGTGAGTACACGATTTATGTCTGGTGTGTACACGATTGATGTCCGGTGAGTACACGATTTCTATGTGGTGAGTACACGATTTCTATCTGGTGTGTACATGATTTCTATCTGGTGAGTACAGGATTTCTGTCTGGTGAGTACACGATTTCTATCTAGTGAGTACACGATTTCTATCTGGTGAGTACACGATTTCTATCTAGTGAGTACACGATTTCTATCTGGTGAGTACACGATTTCTGTCTGGTGAGTACACGATTTCTATCTAGTGAGTACATGATTTCTATCTAGTGAGTACACGATTTCTATCTGGTGAGTACACGATTTCTGTCTAGTGAGTACACGATTTCTGTCTGGTGAGTACACGATTTCTATCTGGTGAGTACATGATTTCTATCTGGTGAGTACCCGATTTCTGTCTAGTGAGTACATGATTTCTATCTGGTGAGTACACGATTTCTATCTAGTGAGTACACGATTTCTATTTGGCGAGTACACGATCTGGCGAGTACATGATTTCTATCTAGTGAGTACACGATTTCTATCTGGTGAGTTCACGATTTCTGTCTAGTGAGTACACGATTTCTGTCTGGTGAGTACACGATTTCTATCTGGTGAGTACATGATTTCTATTTGGTGAGTACCCGATTTCTGTCTAGTGAGTACATGATTTCTATCTGGTGAGTACACGATTTCTATCTAGTGAGTACACGGTTTCTATCTGGCGAGTACACGATCTGGCGAGTACACGATTTCTATCTGGTGAGTACACGATTTCTGTCTAGTGAGTACACGATTTCTGTCTGGTGAGTACACGATTTCTGTCTGGTGAGTACACGATTTCTATCTGGTGAGTACACGATTTCTGTCTGGTGAGTACACGATTTCTATCTAGTGAGTACACGATTTCTGTCTGGTGAGTACACGATTTCTGTCTGGTGAGTACATGATTTCTATCTAGTGAGTACACGATTTCTGTCTGGTGAGTACACGATTTCTATCTAGTGGGTACACGATTTCTATCTAGTGAGTACATGATTTCTGTCTGGTGAGTACACGATTTCTATCTGGTGAGTACACGATTTCTATCTAGTGAGTACATGATTTCTGTGTGGTGAGTACAAGATTTCTTAGAGTATTGAAAATCTTACACCTTTCCGTGTATAATCGTTTCCAGGAAAGACCGTTGATGTCTCTTTTTAACTCCAAAACATTATTTTTCCTTTACAATTACTCACTTAGGGGCAGAAGTGGTATAGTAATAGATACTTCGAAAACCAAGGATGACACAGACTCAGGAAACAAGCATATTCATGACTTGGGAACCACTCGAAAATGTATTTTTGATAATAACGTAAATATAGAAGAAATTAAAGTTTGAATTTAGTGATGGAAAATAGTCATATGTATAGAGTGGTTTATCAAACTCGTGCATATTTCGATTACGCAGGTCTGGAGACAAAGCTGCAATACTGCAGGATAATTATAATTCACAAAACGTTTTGACGGAAACGTGTTCGTATTTGATAATGATATCCCCTTTGAAAATCTTTCTTCGTAATGGGTGAATTTTTTCGATTAACGCGAAACTTTGGATTTTATCCCAAATAACCTTTATCCGAAATGAGCATCAGCCGTGATGGACGGATCTAATATTTTGTGTTTCTAAATATGCCCGGATCTAAAGGTTTTCCCTTGCTCCAAGTCCGATAAGTCGGTATCGGTACATAATATGTCACGTGACGTGGTACCTGCTGCGGCGACGTGCTGGGCATGCTTGAGAATACACAGTCTATCTCTGTAACACATCCATCGAACGTTCCCGCACCGCTACTCCAAAACATCTTTTCTGTAATAACGTGATCGTAACATCTGTACAAATTATTTTACATACGGAATCAAAAATCGCCTTAAAGGTTGTAGACTCTCGAGAGTCTCATCTATCTAACGTATAGGGCAATATACCGTAAATAAAAAGTTACACTGCCAACTTATAGAAAAATAATCTAGTTTAAAAGATGACTTTTATCATAGATATATATAAACAAAATGTTGATACTAAGTTTCACAATTTTGAAAATTA